TTCCAAGGCGTGAATCCCCAATAGAAGTGGGGCATGGCACGGGCAAGCACGAAGGACACTGCCGAATTCGCAAGATACGTCAGACATTGAAGGACAATCACCGCCTTCCTGATTAGTCTACTCTTCCAACCCACCGCCTAGCACACCGCCTACCTAGATTAGCCATCCTGAGTATTCTTGCTCACCGCCTTCGCACCGCCTTCCTTGTTGGTTTTTGACTGTAACTGTCTCCTGCCCACCGCCTTTACACCGCCTACTTAACCTAGCTGTCTTTACACGTATTTTTCACTGACTGCTCAAATACCACCTAACTTACCAAGCTCCAAACCACCACGGTCAATCAGTTAGGCGGCCCTCAGCTAATCCGGCCCAAGATCACTTTGTAACTTCCCCTATACGGAAACGGTCTAAGGCAGTCCAAATGTTAGCTACATATCAATTCTACCATTCAAGCTATCTTGACACTCCATCAACAGGTTGGCGTGCAGGTTGCAGCAAGGTCCCAACTCTGGGTGGCTGACGCTTAAATTGCCTCGGACTATTTCCGTTACCAGGAGGGTGCAGGGCCAGGCTATCGCCATCACAGAGACGGAGCCAACCAATCAGCTAAGTGCGATGGACAATGATCTGTGAGACCTTGACGGCTGCTCCCTTGTACAGTATGTATGCAAGGAATTTGTGTCGGTATTGGTTGGCGTTTTGACTTGGCAGTCACATTATTGGTCGCGGCAGCCCTGAGTTGGTACATTCGGCGCTTCATTAGCCAATGGTTAGGAAGCCAACGAGCGCAGAGCACCCGTTGTTTTTATTACTTTTGTTTTTATTTTTTTATTTTTTTATTTTTTCCGTTTTTTTTTAAAAAACTACACTACATTACGTGAAAACATGTGCCCTGATCTGAAGAATGTTGACAGTCAGCAGCTTGCCCAGCTTAGGTCAGCTGGGCAAAGATGCATTGTGCTGGACTGCGCTAAACATTTGACCGTGGGAACAGGCACGATGTAAGCGCCAAGAGGTCCAAACCGGAGACTCCAGACAATTGAAGAGTGAGTAAAAAGCGGAAGCCGATTGCGCTAGTGACTGTACCGCCTTCCTGATTAACCTACAATAAAGCACTCTTTGCCGCCCACCGCCTAGCACACCGCCTAGCACACCGCCTAGCACACCGCCTAGTACACCGACTACCTAAATTAGCCACCCATATTCCTCTTGCTCAATAAATCTTTGTTGGCTTATTATTGCAACTTGTCTCCTACTCACCAGCTTTCACACTACCTACTTGACTTACCTTAGCTATCCTCTCTACTTTTACCTCACCGCCTAGTCAGAAACCACCTATCCGGCGGAGCAGGTCAATCCACTAGGACTCAAATGCTTGTTTCCATCATTGCAGACCGGTGGCCCGTCTATTTCATATTACATTGGGGACAATGATCAGAGGGAAATGTTAGTCCGGTAGCAATTATCCAGCTGTGGCATTTGATGTGGCGAGCGATGCTCTCCGTTGCCGGTCGACCACGAATATCCTCGACGTGATTATCACATTAACGTGTCCTGAGAGGAAGCCAAAGCCCATTATAATGATATGCTCTAGAAACTTGATAGAGGTAATTTAAATAACATACACTCACGCCCGTAATCTGATACCGTGGACCCTCTCTACGTGGTTCTTGAAGTGGTTCAAGTGCTTGAACTCCAACGCCTCCTGCTTGCACTTAGGGTGGTAGCACGACATCTGCTTCACGCCACCTAGCTGCTGCACATGCTTCCTATCGAAATGGT